CCAGATAGCCTTATAGCCCTATAGCCCTACAGCCCTGTAGCCCAAATAGCCCTAAAGCCCTAAAGCCCTATAGCCCTATAGCCCTTAAGCCCTATAACCCTATAGCCTTATAGCCTTACATCCTTTTAGTCCTATAGCACTATAGCCATATAGCCATATAGCCATACAAGCCTATAGCTTCATGGCCCTATAGCCCCTATAGCCCTATAGCCCAATAGCCCCAGAGCCTTATAGCCCTATAGCCCGATAGCCCTATAGCCCAATTTCCCTATAGCCCTAAAAAGATTATGATTGGGGTTTTCACCTGTACCATTCTCTGTTTAGAAATTAGGATCAATGTGGTGCTAGGAAGGCCTCAAGATCGCTTCAAAATGGACCAAGAAAGCCCCAAGAGGAGCCACACAGGACCCAAGAAGGCCCCAAGAGCGCCCAAGAGCAGTCCAACAGCGCCCCGAGACTGCTCCAAGAGGCCTTCGGGCCCAAAATCTTCGTTCATCGATGACCTGCTGCCAGAGAGGGCCCGAAGAGGACACAAGAGGACGTTCCTCCTCCTCCTCCTGCTCCTCCTGCTCCTGCTCCTCCTGCTCCTCCTCCTCTTCCTCCTCCTCCTCCTCTTCCTGCTCCTCCTCCTCCTAAGAATATTCCTCCTCATCCTCCTCCTCCTCGAGATCCTGAACCTCCTCCTCCTCCTCCGTTTCTTCCTCCTCCTCCTCTTCCTCCTCCTCCGCCCCCTCCTCCTTCTCCTCCTCCTCCTCCTCCTCTTCCCCATTATTCTCCTCCTCCGCCTTCTCCTCCTCAGAATACTCCTCATCCTCTTCCTCCTCCTCCTTCTCCGGATCTTCCTCCAGATCCGCCTCCTCCTCCGAATATTCCTCCTCCTCTTCCTTTTCATGTTCCTCCTCCTCCTCCTCCTTGTCTTCCTCATGTTCCTCCTTCTCCTCCTGTTATTATCCTTCTTCTTGTCATTAGTATTATGATTCTCAGTAGTACAATCATTAGTATGATTATTATTATTGTTATTATTATTATTAATCGCGTGAGTATGTGTATTACTGTTCGTCTGATCATTATCCGTCGGCTGTTCCTACTCTTAAAATTACTAATATGTTTGATCATTGTTCTTAGTACGTATCTCATTGTCAATAGTATTAGTCATGTTCGCCTTATGTTCTTCGTCTAAATATGACTATCAGTATCATTCGTATTCGTCCTTTTCCTCCTTCTCCTCTTCATCCTACGCCTCCTCCTCCTCATCCTCCTCCTCCTCCCCCTCCTCCTCCTCCTCTTCCTCCTCCATCTTTTTCCTCCTCCTCCTCCTCATTATCCTCCTTTATCCTCCTCCTCCTCCTTCCTCCTTCTCAACCTCCTCCTCACCATCAGCAGCAGCATCAGCATCATCATCGTCATCATCATCGTCATCATCGTCAACATCATCAGCAGCAACACCATCATAATCATCATCATCATCATCATCAGCAGCATCATCATCACCATAATAATCATCATCATCAACATCATCATCATCATCATCATCATCATCATCATCATCATCATCATCATCATCGTCATCGCCATCGCCATCATCATCAGCAGCATCATCAGCAGCATCAGCATCAGCATCATGTTCATCAGCATCAGCATCATGATCATCATCATCATCAGCAGCATCATCATTACCCTCAACAGTATCATCAGCAGCATCATTATCCCAAAAATCCTCAACAGTATCATCCTCGTCCTCATCATCATCATCATCATCATCATCAGCATCATCATCATCATCAACAACATCATCAACACCACCATCGACGTCATCATCATCATCAGCAGCAGCAGCACTGGCATCAGCATCATCATCGTCATCATCAGCAGCAGCCGCAGCATCAGCAGCAGCATCAACAGCAGCAGCATCAGCAGCAGCACCATCAGCAGCAGCATCAGCATGCATCATCATCGGCAGTATCAGATTCAGCATCATCATCATCATCATCATCATCATCATCATCATCAGCATCATCATCAGCATCATCGTCAGAATCAGCATCAGCATCAGCATCATCAGCATCAGTATCAGCAGCAGCATCAGCAGCACCACCATCAGCAGCAGCATCAGCATCAGCATCAACATCAGCATCAGCATCAGCATCGGCCGTATCGGAATCAGCATCATCAGCAGCAGCATCAACATCATCATCGTCATCATCTGCATCATCAGCATACTCAGCATTGACATCAGCATCATCATCATCATCATCATCAACAGCATCAGCATCATCAGCATCACTGTCAGCGTCATCATCATGAGCATCATCATCATCATCATCATCATCATCAGCATCATCAACGTCGAGAGTCTCATCATCATCAGCAGCATCAGCATCATCATAATCATCATCATCATCAGCATCAGCATCGTCGTCAGCAGCAGCAGTATCATCAGCAGCAGCAGCAATGCCATCATCATCAGCATCGTAATCATCATCCGCATCAGCACCATCAT